ACGAACTTTTCAGGCACGGATCAAATTTACACAGATCAACTCAAAATGACGTCTTCGAGCATATTCAGCATGTCGCAGACGTAAAAGAATCCCACTTATTAATAAAAATTGAAATCTTAAAACAAGTGTTTAAAATACTAATCACTCTTTGCAATCAACACGTGATACCTATCAAAAGTGGCAAATTTTCTTCTCGTTAATGAGAGTTTGGTCGCATAGGAGAAAGCAATTTCTACTTCTAGCCCAACGCATTACTAATAAGAACATAGGTATTGAAATTCTGCTTTCTACCGACTTCGCCCAAGCTCTGACATTTACTCGGGTAGTACACTCTGCGTCAATAATTTCAGTTATTCCTCGTAGTCATGGGGTATATGGATTTGGAGGATGCTAAGGTCACGATTCGCCTAACCTAATTACACGCACGCGAACATGTACGCAACCAGCCTGGAGGATAGCAATTAGGTTCTTCCAAAATGGCATTAGAAATGATGTGCCAATCACCGGGTCTGATGCCCTAAACTGGATTTGGAAGTTTGCAATGGCTGTCATAAATCAGCAAAATGATGAAATCGACTCCTCCCATTATACCGATCAACGCCATTAACGCCCTGCACTCAGTTAGTAGACTAGCTCAGTAGCCTTTAAAAGTACTTACTGCACATTTGGCATTTTCCGGTTTTTCTTATGACGATTGCGCGTCACAAAACCTATTTGAAAAAAAATGGATTATTTACAAGACGTCGCATCTGCTGATCCAAGCGTGGTCGAAAGAATAGGCAATTAATTATAGTAAGATGTCCAAACACACGTGTTTGCGTTCACTTACACAAGTTGAAACTTGGTTTTAATTTTGGCTACAGGTGTACTTTCCCCAATCTATTTATTAACTTGGGGTCGCTGACTCACATTTCGTTCCGGGTAAACGTTGGCGGTGATACACTAAAAGTGCACCATCGACAGTACTTTATCGGAGCTAAAAGTGTTGAATAAACGCACAATTTAGTGTCACGTCAATCCGTTTGCTGGTGTTCAACATTCTTTCCTATAAATACGTGGGATTCAAAGTGTTAATTGTAGCGACCAGCGAGCGAATACTGCAAGCGTGATCGAACGCAATTCACTCGATACACGTGAAAGCGCTCCCTGTAGCAGATCGATGTTAAGCGAACCTTTATAAATTGGCGACTTGTTACCCTGTATAAATATGATCCGCGTTTTCTACCGTGTTCTTCATCTTTCCTGGTCGGGTCTTGTCAGTGTAGACTGAATGGCTTTTGTGTGGTTTTCAAACCGCACCAGTGCTTCTAAACGTGGAATGCTATGCAAAACACGACATAAGGGTGACCGCACTGTGAAAAATCCTAGCACCTCCCTAATAAGCAAACAGCTTATCAAAAATTGGCTGACCTACCACGACTGCGATTGAGGTCATCGTGGAAAAACACGGAAGCTATTAAACATAGTGCGCGATTTTGCTATTTCTACCGAGAGAGAGGTAATTTTGGTTGCTCGATTTCTGTTTAGAAGTTTAAAATCAGTTATATATAATGCGACATTAGCAAGTAACATATGATATGATACTAAATTAGTAGGCCCCAAGGCAATTTAAGTACTAAGTATAACAGTTACTGTGCAGACGAATTTCGCACAGAAAACCACGAGAAGCGGTCACTTGCGAGTTGTATTCAAAAATATGTATAATAGGCGACCTTTAAGAGCGAATTTACGGTCACAGCGAAAACGACGGAAAATCACATAGCCTTCGAAGATTACGAGAGTAATTTTTGCAAAGTCACGTCCACGTTCGTATGTCCAAACGGTACACAAATACTGGAAGTTAAAAGGTAAAGAAAAACGTTGAATATGGCAAATGTGGGCTATTTTGTGGCAATAAGATGATTCTTACGGCAAATCAGGCTATCTGCATAAAGTTCTGGATCCTACCCCGCCACAATAGTTTTTTTCCAACTGATTGGTAGCCTTGTCAGTAGCAAATAACTTTGTGCATTTTTTGCAAATAAAACCTTTTCAAATGCGTTCGCTTCGAAATTTTCCCGACGTCGCAACACAAAGATACATGACAAACACTCCGATAACCCCTTCCAACCCTATTCACTTCCAACTCCGCAGTTGGTCTTAGCTTCCGTCAATTTCCTTCTTTCAAGATAACTGCGCACACCATCGGACTTGCAAAGGGTGTGAAATTATTCGCATCAATATCCTATTTTCTGGGTTTGAGTTAATTTTCTTCGGATTTATGTGAAGAAGATGACATTCGCAAGAAATAATTTACCATTCAACAACTTTAAAGATTGTCTTAAAATATTACTAAGCCCGTGGTGCACATTCAGGAAAAATTCAATTAAAAAGCTTGTGTTTGTCGTGTGAAACCGCCACATTTAAATATTTTTTTAAAAAATGGCCGCAAACTTGAAGCCACCACGTGCATTTATTTTTTACTAATTCATAATGCATCATAATGCCTGGCGATCCCCATCACGCATGTATCGTGTTTGCCTTAACTCTAGCAGATCTGTATTTGCCAAATGAATAACAGTTAGTAATGTGCGTTTAACAAGATTTTTTTATTTTATAGTTGTCGTGGGACCCAGTATGTGATTTTGAAACACTGTAGCGACGTCTGAGGGCGCAGACAATCCTGTGTCTTTCTGCGTTATAATGGCATGCGAGGAAGATAAGCAGCCAACCAGAGAAGGACACGAATGAGGTGCAGTATATAATGAGCGGCGTTGCCAGCGTGGTGGACTCTGATGGTGATTCTGGCTTGTGATTGGTCAATGAAGCCTGTCCTGTTGTACCGGTCTTCTACACAAAGCCGAGGTCACGACAATGTTTCAACACAACTAGACTAATCTTATCGCATAAAACTAGATGTCTGAGTGTATTATAAATGAGGTAGATGTATTTTCAAAAAAATCGTATTCGCAAACCATGTTAACACTACCTGTGGCCATATACATCCTTGGCTCGAATTTATTCTTAACAAGTAAGGGATAGAGATCGCATAAATCTTCAATACTGGGTTTTTAGATAGGCAACCTAGGTCGGTGAACGTTAGTTCTCGTACGACAATGTCCTGCATCATTCCAGATTACCAAAATAAACTAGATAAATTAAACATGTTCTAAATTCACGAGGCCACTAAATAAAGAAATATTACGTCAGAAATTTTGCATATTAACAGCACATTAGAAATCCTTCCGAAACCAAAAAATTTAATATTCATACATACTCAACAAAACCTCACAAAAGAATAGAAAATTGAATTAATTGGAATTTTTTGATCCACCGACATTGTAATTTAAGTTATATCGATTGCAATTTAACGGTATAAAAAAATACGGAAATAATTTTGTGACATTTCTAACGAATCAGACAGTTTTAAAAGACTTCCACATAAATTATATAATAATTAATAGGTACTGGTGCGATGTCCGAAAAACGGAGGGCACATTTTAAACACTGCTTAAAAATGCACTGCACTAAAAGTACGGTAGATGTACCACTTATCTTTTGCTAAAATTCATTAATTAAGTGGACAAATAATTGGAAATACGTTAATTGGGAGCAAAATATCCAGGTGTCACAACATAAAGATTTTCGTGCATGACAAGGAGTGCATCACATAATTTAAGAGAAAAACTTATTCATTTTAACGTTGATTAATGCAAAAACGTGTATTGAATGCTGAAAGGTAGTAGATTTAAAACAAGTGGCTGCAATATTTCAGACACTTAAAGCCACCAAAAATTAGATAGCCAGCTGACTTTTTACAAGTCTTAATCCATAAATATTTACGTTGCTGAGCACCCCGACACGTTGTCTTGAACCAAGCCGGGGCCACTACGACAATCTACGCCGAATTCGTTACCCTGTGCTCCCGCGAAAATAAAGAAGACCGGAGTGGAGAAGGCACAACCGTTTGCTAGACAGCTCAATCAAGTTGTGCCGTGTACAATTACGGTTCAGTGAACATGTACAAAAATAAACACAGGTGTCTGTGATGTCACGTGACTAAAACGGGTGGTGGTGGGACATGCGGGGTGGTTAATGAACCAGTGGCCTCTCGTGACTGACGGGCAGGTCGTGAAAAGGGGAACGTGTGCTGGAAGCTGCGAGGTCTGGGTTATTGGACCTGAATCAACAGGAATCCCTACAAAGATAAGTGTGGGGAGAGGGAAAACTGCACACATTATAGAACAATTTAAGAGTCTGTTACTAGAATTAATCCTAAAACCAGTTAACAATGTAATATTTTAGACAAAATAAACTGCTTTAAATCATCTCTACTAGGAATATCCGGGATTACTTTTTCTTTGACTCTTTAGTGTGAACACGAAATCACATTAATACTTGCACATTTTAAAATCTTGCACTAAATTTTAGCCTTTTTTAATCGTACAGTAAATAATTTATTGTCTTACGTTAATTGAAATACAAGATTAAAACCAATTATTTTCAAACGAAATGCAATTTTTATAAATGACTGTATTAGACGGCGGAATACACAAATCTATGGTTGGTGTTTCCGAACCATCCTTTGTGAATGGACTGCATCTGATCTGATAACATAAAAATTAAAATGGCACAAGCAGGCCCAAATACTCTAGCAGGACTAAGAAGAATATTTAACAAGCCTGATTTGGACGTTGATAAATGTTAGTTTTGCGATGACTTATGATGATAAAGCTTTGCTGGGTCTTTGGTTAACAACTATGGATATCGGCATTGCATGCTTAGTGGGCATTGAATAGCTATAATCTCTTTCATTGACAAATTGCGTCAGCTTATAGGCAAGGTGTAGTAATTATTGCTTCATATTGCTCACTTTTCATATCAACTCGTAGACTCCTCTCTTCTCCTCGGTTTTAACTGGTTATAGTTATTTTAGTGTTAAGCTCTGGATGACTTTTGTGTTGGTACTGAAAACAAGTGTACAATTACCAGCCTTGCATACTTGATCAAAAGCTGTGGTTATGTTTGGTATGAGGTTTTAGTATTTTGACAATTCTAGTGGTAAACCTGCGAGATCTAGTAGCGACCTGTGCCGTTTATTTATAGCGTGAGTTGTACATAAACTTTAAGCTTAATTCGATTGCAGGGAGTCATGTTACTAGCGTCGATGTGTGTGCATTTGTTCTTTCATCTACTGTTACTGACTAACTTATTGTTTTCGGTACTAGTTGTAAACAACATTTCGAAAAATGGTGGCGCCGAAATTCTCCAGACCATTTCTGATTTGAATTGCATGGCGGAGGAGGCCTCAGCACAGATGAAAAAGGCTATTTTTAATAACTTTAAGCTCTTCATTGACGCTGGGAAGGCCGTTGCTGTACTAGCCTCTACAATGCATCAGCTGGATCATCAACTCGTCGAACAGAAACGTCTTTGTGCAGCGTTAACTGAAAAATCGCTTTTCAGAGATGGTACAATGTTTTTCAAGTTGTATTCTTGATTTGATTATAGAAAAAGTTTCATTTTCTGATTCAAAATGTAATTTCAATGTGGATAGCAATATTTCCTCTCTCTTAAACTCTGTTGAGGGTGTCTCGGTAAGCTGTTAATTTTATTCATGTTTTCTGAAGAATTTAGTCAAGGACCCCACCAGACAGCTCCTATTCGATGCCGACGCCGTCGAACTAAACCCGACTACTTTCATGAAACAGGGCTACGTCCACCTTTTTGTTTTGACCGACTACATCCTCGTAGCCAAAAAGCAATACGACTCGTAGGTGCCTCTGTTGCCATTTGTTTTTTTTTTCAATTTACTCTTTAACATGCAACCCTAAATCTATTTGTGTTCCTCTGTTAGTTTTTTTTAAAAAAATGCTAATTCTTGTATCTCGTTATGCTTAATCACTAAGTAAAGGTTATACGTTTGCTTGCCCCCATATGCGCTATTGCGACATGTTAACCAGGTTTTCCTGATTTCTCGCTTTCATATTTACCACAAGTACTTACATCTTTGTCTTCCGTTAAAAATTGCTTTTAGGCTTCTCATCTATCGTCCTGGTTTGTACCGTCCAACTTTTAGATTCCTTTTCTGTGAATTTTGACTAGCCTTTAAGATGTAAAATGAAATTAGGAGTGAGTAATGTGTTGAATAGCCCTTTGTATTTCTACTGTGCTTTTAGCAAGGAAATTTATTTTGTTTTTTGATTACCCATCTAAACTTTCAGGTACGCTGCGCGCCGTTACAAGAAGCAAGCCCTTTATGAGATTGAAAATGTCGCTGTGACCAGCGTGAAACCCCGCGACGTACAAAAGGCCTCTCTTAACCTCGTCCAACTACTTGTCTTTCCAGACAGCCATGTCTTCCAGCTGGAGTCGATCAAAGAGAAGCGAGCTCTTATTTCCACTATTGACGAAGCAAAACGCCACCACGTGACCGGAAACTCGATGGAGGAAGGCGAAGGGACCCTAGAGCTTGGTGTGTCCATTTCGGATACACCAACAAATCCATCGGCACCGCGTTCCTCTGTTGTGGTCTGTCCAGCGGACGTGGAGACGTCGTGTTTTGAGGCGTTGGTGGGCACTCTACCTGAGATTTCTGACTTCATTCGGTTTGATCGAAAATCACTCGACGCAACTACTGCACAAAAGACAAATCGTAAGTCCATTTGCTAATTACAACATAATTTATTCCTGTGGACTGCAATAAGTTGCTAAGTGCATGCATAATGTTCCTACAAGTTTCCATTTATTGGGGTGCTTTCTTTCGCTTGCCAATGTATTTCTATATTGGGTACGTCCTGGTGGTTTGGAGTCCGATTATTCTTGTTTGGTGGCTCAAATTAAGCGACGGAATACATGTAATTTTAGCCGAATTCTTTCATCCAAAATGCTCAATGCTGCTTTCTTAATGTCTTATCTCAAGTTCATTTTCTTTGCATTTTTCTTACTTCGTGGTAGTCGTGAATAAAGGCTCGCCTTCCTGTTGTTTTACATACTACATTTTACTTCCTTCCAATTTCACATCGACTTCATTTTTCGGCTTATGTAGGCATGATTTTTCAACCAAATCTCAGGGAGCTGTGGTATTTTTTTCTAATAACTGTCCTTTTCAAGTCCGCCTAAATTTTTCAAGTCGCTCTAAGGCCGCCCTTCGAACAGTTGTGTTCTATCCTAATCGGCATGTCAAACGCACGATAATCGGTTTGCATATAGTTAAGCCTTGCCACATCAGAATCGATAGTTAACAGAATAAATGAATAGTCGTATTGGTGGACCTCAAAATCGATTTAACAACCCGATAATCTCACCGTCATTTTGAGTCTGGTGATTTGGCGACCTGTAAAACGCATTTAGTTAATTATGAGGCTTGTGAGTGCAGATCCGGGTCATGGTTTGACTGTGTTGCAAAACAGAAAGACTTCTTTCTTCTTCAACAGCCTTCAATAATGATTCATTTGGGGGCGCCCATTCTCAAGGCAGTCTGAACGAAGACGCTTGGCTTTGGGAGGCACCTGAGGACGTGGACGTAGCCGTTGCCATCCGTGACTTCGCCAAAGCCGTCTCGCTCATTTCCAAGGCCAGAAGGCGTCTGGCGCAGCTTCTGAGTGCGCCAAAGACCCCCGCCTCCTCGGCCGATCGTCAGCAGCAGGTGTCCGCAGCCGTCGTTGGCTTGACCAAACTCAATGAAAGAGTGGAACAAAGGGCCACCAATTTATCGAGGGTGCTGGAAGAGGAGCTCACTAGAGCTGCGGACAGACATAGTAGGAATTAAATGCTGATATACTTGTCTAGCTCAAGTCTATTTGACATTGATACGGTTTCCCAACGTGAAGGCCTTTATATGGCCAGGTATGGCTCCTTAGTTACCTCACGTTTACCTTACTATCAATCTCCTTGTGTATGCTCTTTCGAGAATTCTATTATTGCAGAAAGCACTCCAATCTGAGAGCATCGTGGCGCCATCCGATTTCCGTAGGCCTTGATCGTGAGCAATTAAGTGCCTAGTACCCACCAGCCTGCACTAGGACCGGTGGTTATTTGCTTTACCAAAAGACTAGTTCAACAGAATCAATGATCCGCCATTCATTGACCATTTCATGCATTTCGCCTCGATGTCTGAATTTTGATTAAAACCAGAATTGCAATTTATGGCAACGTTATACAAATGTTCTTTTTTTAATAATAAATCTAAGTCTCTGGTTATTGCAAATGAGTCGTCGCTACCGTAATACGTGCCCTTGTAGGTAGCGCTTGTTTATTCTGGCAACTCACGTGATTTTTGTACTTTAAAGTTGATCTAGCCTGCATGGGTTCCATAAGTAAGTGCATCTCCAGCCTCCTGCTCAACCTACTTTAATCATTTGCATGCCTCCGCAACCTCCCAGGGCATCTTAATACCTTGGTCAGCCATCTCTTCCATGTCTCTGCTTTCTCGTTTGACCTTTTTTGTCATTTCGCACTATTTCCCTATTGTTTAATCACCAAGGTACGAAAACCCCGTTCAGATGCTTCACAAACTAACCCATCATAATGATCACAACCCCGTTTTCGTAACTTTTGAAACGATTTGGTTTGTTTCCCCGCCACTTTGAATCCTCTCACCACGCTTATTGGCTAGGCCAAACTTCGTCAAAAGTCTTCCCTCGTGGACGCTACTATTCATTTCTGTACTTCCTCGTTTAGCGTAAAGTAATTCGAAAGCAGACAAATTTCCTATTTTAAACGTTTTTACTGTGTCCTTGCACCATAGTTGCATGACGTTCACATCACGTGTTTCGTTTTACTAGGCGTGTATTCGTCAAGTAGTATTACGTCCAATTCGGTCGTGTTCTATCGGTACTTTTTTGGTTCTGAGACAAGAAAGGATTCCCTTGTTCTGCACTATGCAATGTTGCACGGTCGTGTGGCGGAATATATCGACTGTTATCAATGAATTTTATAAAACCAGAACTGACATCTTTTAAGCTCTTGTGTGATCTGTTTGTCATCCTTGTTCTCGGATCCGTTCCTCTGCTTCGACACCATCCTCGCCACATACTTTTGGCGATGTGGACTCGTATAACCTCATCATTCCTTCCTTGATCCGTTTGAGTGCGCTTGCATATTTGGCGTCTCAAACCCATTGCATTACTGTCGGATTAGCTAGCATTTATTTCGTCTTGCATGCATTCGCGTATACCTGAATTTGCATTTCCACAGAGTGGTTTCGAATGCCACCTGTTGCACATGTAAATTGAATGTCAGTGGCACAAACTACTTATATGCAAAACTTTCAACATTTAAAAAAAATGACAATTTCATACTGGCTACTGAATAGACGTGACCTCAGTCTTCCGCTTTCCTTTTGGACATTGTGTGGTCCCGGACTTTAACAGAGCGACGATCTGACGTTCTACCTAACGTCTAACCTTTCCTTTGAAAATGCAATTTCAATGCGTCTTCTTGTGTTCAACCCATAAATCCCCTAATGCGTGTGCCAGCCTTATTGTTTTGCTACTTCTGTCTTCATTTCTGCAAAATGCGTCTTGGAATTCGCCCGCGTACAGCACAAAAACTTAGGTGCTCTGAGTATTTCATTCTCTCGTCTAGGCGCAAGTCAGTCCGTTCGTGCGGCTGCTATCCACCTATCAGAACTCGGCAAAACGGTGCTAGCCCTTCACTTATTCCTCACATATCGATCCGGGGTCATTGGTGGGACCTTGGTTCGTGGCGTTCGACAAGAAGGCAACCAGTTAGTCTACCTGAATCGACTCAGTTTGGCCTTTCATCGCGGACTGGTGGAGTCTGTCTCCGAGTGGAATCAACTGATTGACGACCTGAAGCAGCGGCCGGAGTTCGCTGGCCTCGAAGACGTTGTTACTTCAAGTATGCATGCGTCTCTTTGGCTAAATGGCTCTTTAGCTTGTTTGACTTGATTTTCTGCTGTCCGTGACGCGTTGCCTGTTTCCGATGTTCTCTCCTTCAGAACTGTGCAGTTGGGTGTTGGAAGAAACAGTGGAGTTCTGCAGTCAGTTGAAGGTTCTCCTGATCGACAGCCGGTCCATAACATTCTATGCAATGGCGTGTGCCAGCGAACGGATACATGCCCATGCCAAGAGGGTGAGTTTTTAATTGGTGGGCGATTCCGCCAAGGCAGGCATTTTCACCAAATCTAAGTAGCCGCATTAAGCAAATGCGTGAGATTGTATATTTTGCTACCAAAACGCCCTCAGATGCGCGCATAAAATGGAATGTGTTTTGTGACGCATCTTTCCTCGTTAACTACTAACTTAGTGGATGGTGACAAGTGAGACTTGGTTTGTCCTGACCACGAGTTTCCTTTCAATGCAGAAGGCAACCAAGAGTGGTATAGTTTACTTTTGAATAATAGATCCAGATGCTGACACATTTTGCTACTAGACAGTATCGTTTGATTTGATTGGTTTCTTCGTTGAAGTGTTTGACTGTTTACCTATGAACAGTCCCGTCTAAAGTTGGGGTTTTGTTTAATTTTCGGCAAAATGATTGCGTGTTTTGAAGCGACTTCTCGGAAATATGTCGATTAGCAAGTACTGTGACATCTCTCCCTACGTTTGCGTCTACTTGTCTTAGAAGTAGAAACTGCTATTCGTAAGAAAATGGTTTGGCCTTGTGTTATTCTGGATTCTACAAAACTTCAAATTAGCTGACGTTAAGTTAGTGATATTAAGAACGCAAATTCATATGCTAGGTAATATACTGTTTATAGTGGTTGTGTTTTTAGAAGCCGGCATGCATACTTAAGGCCGTAGATAAATTGCGTCAAAGGCGATAGTAGTTCAGATGTTTTTTTCTTAATTTAATTTCTTAACAATGACCGTTCAAAATACGCTTGCTGAATACATGTTTCCTTCCCACCCTGATAGTTAAGGCGTACATGGATTAGTAAACAGCACAATTTTCAAGTAGTCCAACTCGAGAGTTTGTCGCTAAACATTGAGCTTTTCATATTCAAGACTGAATTTTACTATTCCGAGGTGTTTTTCTTTAAACTGTAACCACGATTTACCCCTACTAGTGATTTCGTTCAATTTCTGTTTTTTTTCAGGTAACTGAATTAATCGGAATTGATATCAGATCAGCGTTCGACAACTGCCTGGTTAAATCCTGGCAGCGAGCAGTTGAAGAGCAGGGTCGCGTTTACAGAGACGCCGTGGAGCACAGAGCTTCTGTAGGTTGGCGCTGTTCTTTTTCACTTGAAGTACCGAGACCTTTCGAAGTTGAGTGCATCGTAAATGTCCTTTGTAGAAGGAAAAGTGGCAAGCAGTCTCCTCGCAGACTAATGAGATGAACGTTAAGACTATGGTGGAGGTGGGATTTCCTGAAGCCAAGCAAGGTCTTAATGGTGAGTATGCTGAGGCCTCAGAAAAGATCCTTGTTGGAAATTGCATCCTTTCGCCTCATTGAATTCGGGCTGACTAATATTGCAAGCAGATCACCGATTATGATGACTTAAGTGGGCTATTTCCTGACCCAAAGCAGCGAGAAATGGTTTGAAGTCTGCAGTTGCTAGTAAGGCGTTTTCTTAAAAATAAATTCCTAGTAGTGACAGTCTAAAAAGTGGTGTACTTGTCTAAACGAGCTGGTTTTTCAGTCCGTTCAATTTCTCTTTGCGTCTTGACTTGGATAAGTTTTTGGTCTTTAGTAAGATAACTGTAAACAATTAATGCACTTCGTCACTTTTGTGCCCATGCCTTTCAACTAATTTAGCTGTGTTTTACTGCTTTTCCGTTGGATTTGTTTGGAGTTAGATTCGTAAATACTTTCGCTGCATTTTCCCACAGGAGGCAAAGGCTTGACCTCTTTCACCACTCAGAGTGCTCGCTTGCTGTCGCATTTTGCTCATGCCTGCGCCCGACTCGACTGCCCAGAACTGCGGGAATGCATTGTCACCTCACTGGTCAACATGCTACGCTGTGACCTTGATGTCTACAATCGCGTCTTGACTGCCTCTGAAACCAATGATCGGGACGAGACAAGCTCAGTGCGTATCCGATTTAAGAACACTTTCCTATTTACCAAATGATCTTATTAATTGATGTTTAAATCGAAAGGCTGATTGTTGAAAACATCTGGCTGGTTAGGTCCCTAAATGTAGTGTAGCGATTGGTTACTTAATTTAAGCTGGTGCATGACCAATTTTTCCTCACTTTTAGAGCAAGTTAATACTGGCTAATCTACAATTCTTTGTGTACAAAGTAATTCCAAAAATCTCTGCAAAGATGAACTGCGCGGACCATTTGGCTGTGATGGCTGTGACGAAGGACTTCAAGAAACTCCTTCGGGAAAGCCAACATTGACATTTCAAGCACTCAGTCGATCGACTCCTTGTAATTTTATCTCACATGCTCAATTTCTTTTGTTACTTGATTCTCGCCTATTGATAAACTGCGTCTTCTGGATCTGGCGTTTTAGAAAACACATGACCAGTAAGTAAGCTTCGTCGACATCAACCTAATTAACATACTTTTTTTAAAAAATTCATACTGCATTCTGAAAGTGATGCCGACGGGCTAAGGTCGATGTCATTGAGCAGTTGGAGAAATTGAGCCGCACTTAATCGCATTTCGACTACTCTGAACAAGTTTAACTTATGGGAAGATTTTAGGCGTTTTTGTGCAAAAAAGCAGGCACAAACCTCGGCCTTTTATTTTCCTGTGCGCGGCGTCAGAAAACTTTTGTGTACAAAACAGCACATTTTTGTAAAAAAAACGCCCATATTAAAGTGCAATGAAGGTAAGCCGAATTGTGAGTATTCATGAAGTAACATGATTCAACCGCACCGATCCCGTCACTGTTGTCTAAAAAGAGCAAGGGTATTTTCGACATTACTGATGACAAGGTATAGCAGTAGCCCTCGGATTTAAAGCTTCTGTGCTTTTTTACACTGCGATAAATTTAAGTGAAAAAAAAATGGAAGGTGAGCGAGTGAAAATCTGTATGCAGATTTGGCATTTCAGTTTCGTCTTGTACATAATTATGACCTACACGAAACCAACATTAAGTCGCTTAAATCTGGGGGTGAAGTAATGATTTGGTTGAGGTTCCTAAAAAAAGAATCGGTCCTGGAGCAGACTCCATGTGCGAATACCGAGGTGTAACTAGCATTTTACTTTTAATAATAGTCAAAAAGGGATGCCATATTGGAGGTTACCGTCTTCTTTATTTCAAAGGTGATTTTGGTTACAGTCATTCAGAAAATCGTCGTAACACAGGCAGCCTCTAAAGAGTGACCCTACTGAAATCAAGGAAGTGTGAAGCTCCTTAATCGATAATTTCCAATGATGAAATGCCGGAATGGAAAAACCTCATGCTTCATCAATACATTTGAATGTCTCCTACATAAAAATGCGAGTGAGGGTCAGGCAATTGGATTCGTAATTTGCAGGATACGTGAAACATTCCAATGTGTATTGAAAACTTGGTGAGGTGTACAGCTTAAGATACACAAGTGCAGACAGTAACGAGGGCAGCTAATTAAGCACACTGATCACTTTGCACTAACCTGATTGAAGGCTAATCGTCGATTTAAATATTCTTTGAAGGGTACTTCAAAAGACTCAACAAGATTGCAGAACGTCTCATGCTTTGCATTGTATTCACTACTAAGTCGGTCCTGAAATTCAGGCAAAAAAATGTCTCTACTTTTTCTTTGGCTAAGGCCAAACATTCAGACTCCAAGGTCTTGAGGAATTTCTTCATGCTTTCTTTTTTATCCTCCGTTGCAGAAAGTTGGTTCTGAAGTAACGACAGCTTATAATTCTAAAGATGTTAAATTATATCTAGAATACCTGGTCAATTATATCTCTTTGTTTCTGTTCGGTATTAATTTTAATCTCTTGAACGTTTTTCTTAATCAAATCAATTTGTTTTTTGACTGGAAATAAAAATTTGAAGTTGTCTTACGATCTCTAATTTCCTGATGCGATTCTAGCGTGTCTTTTTCAGTCTGGTATATCTTTTCGAAAAGTTCTGTCATCGGTCTCGTGATATCATTCGTCGACATTATGTAGCAGTCGCACAAAAGCGGAAAACTACAATCGTGTCAAATACACAAGTTAGCTGTTTCCGCTATGCAATAAAACAAGGCTAATGACTAATTAAGACATGACATAAAGATCATATATACTTCCTGCTAACTGGCATTAGTATCAGAAAACTACATCAAAGTTGCTGATTTTAGCTATCAGATCCGTTTAAACTTAATTAAAGGATAAGGGTAAGGCACAAAAGTGATCATATTCCGAGAATTGGCCATTTCCATAATTTTACGTTTATTGTGTAAAAAAACAAAGTAAAAATTTGGTTTTAAATATCAGACCTTGTATACAGTATATATTACACCACTTTATGTTAAAAATTACTTTTATATATTCATTGCGTTATTATTATCTCCCTCTTTTTACCTTTCACGAACTTTTTCCCGAAATCATCTATATAACTGCTTAAATTTGCCTACTTTATCGAAGCTATAACATGAATTAAATTGACATTACAGAATCTGACCATTTGGTGATTTGTTAAATATTAGCCTTGTCAAATATTTAGTGTTGACCTTCATCAAATCCAATTCATTGCCAAAAAATGACTAAAAACAAAATGCGTACAAATATATTTGGGCCAATTAAATTGATGTACATCGGCTTAGGTGTTATTTATATTTTTAGATAATGTAGAAACTGCGTATAAATATATATTGGCGTTCCTGAATGTGTAAAAAAAGGTTTCCAGGAAATATTCAATCGGGTGAAACAATTAATAAATCATAATTTGTTAGATCCTTCAATATATTTTGATTATTTATCGCTGAAAGGAAATGCTGCTAATACGATTTATATTATGTTTTCTTGAATATTATCGCATTTTTGCGATGGATTGATAACATTCAAATTAGTTCTATCTCCTATGATTGGGTTCTTGCATGTATTCAAAAAAAAAATAATTAAATGGCCGTAACTGCAAGCGCTTTTATATGGTTGGGATAATTGATATCTACGCAGACTTTACAATGTCTTGAGGATTTTTGCAGGTTAGTTCAGGTGCATGAATCCATTTTTTATCTATAAAGTGTGAAATATGAACTGTGATTGAGTGAATTAAGTGATTAATTTGTTGTTCGGTTTACCTGGGTGCTAATTTATTTCATATACTCCTCATGGAATCGGCTTTGCAAGCTATGTAGCTTCTTGACGAGTCCAAAATTGAACTAATCGCTCAAAGTCCGGCCAAAAGTATTCAATTATGTATGTGTTGATAAAAGTCACACTGACATTCACTTTAATTTGAATGTTAACCTATCAACAAGCTTCATATATGAAACTTGTTGACTGCTATAATATATTGCATCCTGCTGTGCTAAAAAAATATGTTTTTTGCACTTAAAAAATGCTTGCTTTAGGTCGTTCTAGGTAACTCTGTTTTCACTGTATAATTGTGTTTATTTAGTTCAACATAATATTTTGGCTCACCGAGCTGCTGTTTTGACCTTGTGACGGGCTTCGTTCGTGAATTGCGTAAATCGGACTATTAAAGATTGGTTTCCTTCTCATTGCTCAGTTCATTGTCATAGACTTTTTTAATGTTTTTTTATTTGGCCTAATTTTCAACCAAATAATGTATCTTGAAGATAATGTATTTTTCTGCAGTTTCGTCTTTTTCCGTCGGAGTGTGCTTCATCTTTCTGAGTGTCCTCTCCCTTAAAACGATTTTACTCGAATTGCGACCTCACATACTTTGTTTTTTTGATGCTTACGTTCCTCAGCTGACCAATGTTTTGTATAGAAGGCAAAACGAACGCGTTTTCTGTTCTTCCTTTCGTTCACGTTGAAATGCGGAGGTCGGGGCTCATTTGTCAATCGTGAAAAGCTACTCACGAAACGTTAATGCTGTGTCCATCTCTGCTTGATTTATTTAGGCATTATTCTTGCACCAGTAGTGTGATTCGAAGTTGTTGAGGTTCCAAGGGTCACTTTTTTGCTAAGCTGCAAGTGTATCAAGTGCCTTCACACAAATTAACACCTATTGAAGCACAGTGATAGTTTTCTTTATATAAATTTTATAAAGGCAGAGCTTATTGTATTAAGTGGTCATAAAGCAATACGTTTTTATATTTACACTATGTCATTCATTTTATGCGGAACTATTGTAGTGGTCATTGACGTCGTTGTTGCTATCACCCGAACTTTGTTTTCCTAAAAGATTATGCTTTCATAGCAAATAGCAAAATGCATCCGCAATGAATGACAAATTTCACCTTGACAAAATAACCTTTTCCCAACTGCTATATTCACCGCAACTCCCAAATTTAAACACTGGAGATGGTTGACGGTCATTTAGGTCACTTTAAGTCTTCCTTGCTGTACTTATTGGCCGTTTGGGCAGATATACTCACTAGCTCCTGTTTTTCCGGTTGTTTACACACCGACTTAGTTCTTTTAGTACAGAAATCGCAGGCATTTTGGCTAACCAAATTTGAATTCTTCCCCAGTTAAGATTTTCGGGTTGGCGCATTTCAAATATGTCAGAAAGAAAGCCGCTCCAGCATACTTTGAAGGGCATCATCGCAGGTGCGTCCAGCCTTATTACATTTTCCCATCTAAATATATCTGATCTGCCTTCTCCTTGTGTTCTCAGTCTCTTTTTTGCCTTTTTTTGGAAACTGAACTGATATCTATTCTATTATATACAACATTCTCGAGAATGATGCTTGACTTTTTTGTTGTGCTATTTTGACTCTAGTCTGTTGTGGTGTACCGGATAGAACGTGTTTGGTCGCTCGCACTGTGTAAGTCAGGTGTGCTTGTTGTAGTTTCTACGTTTCGTTGTTGTTTTTTTATATTCACATCGTAATCACAAGTACTCATTGTTATTTATCGGAACCACAAGTAGTCCGTATCTAAATCAAGGTATCTACACACTATTAACATCCTGAATCTACCAAGTTTCCTAACGACTGCTGTGTTCTGGAAGGTTCATTCCCAACGTAACAAGCTCCCCATTATACAATTCGTGTCTGCAATTTTGATATCGTCTTTGGAAGAGAAGAATTCTGGTAATTTATCAGGACTACGTTCGTTTAAGCATTTTCCCTCAATTATGATTCCTTGTGCTTGGAAAGATGACATTAGCATGCCACCAATGTAGGTGTTTTTTACTCTCATCGCTCTAAAATCGTCGCTTCTGAACATGTTAGTTTTTTATTGATGCGTACTTGGTTTGCAATTGAATCTTTCTATGATTCTTTGTGGAAAGAGATTTGCGTGCAATGTTTTCGTGTGTTGTACTTTGTTTGCGTTTGGTTCGTCTGCCCTAAACTCTTGTCTCGTTGGCTAGGAGTTAATTAAGTCACGGAAAACACAACGCAAAGTTGACATAATTTGTGCTTTTAAACATTGTTTTCCTCTTTAACTTTTCAATTGCTTGATTTTCTGCTGTTTACTCTTCGAAGCAGGATATTAACCGTGATCATTCAAGCTATATTTAAGCTTTTCACTTGTATAGTGGACTGTGATCCAATTGGAGTCTTAATTTCTAATTTGGTTAATTCTTTCACTGTGATTGAGAAAATAAACTTCTACACTTGTTCTACTTCAGGAGGTATTACAGGAGCAATCGAGATTCTCATAACCTTCCCCACGGAATACGTAAAGACGCAGCTTCAACTTGACGAGAGAATGGGTGTTGCCCGGCGGTACCACGGTCCAATCGATTGTGCCAAGAAGACAATTCAGTCGCATGGATTTCGCGGACTCTACCGCGGCCTTAGTGTTCTTCTTTACGCTGCTATACCGAAGTCAGCAGTAAGGTAAGGCCTGTCGAGTCGTTAGTGGTGCTGATTATTTTACACGACTCCGTTAAACTCCTACCATATGTCGTTTCGTGACCATGGCATTTCAGCCTCCTCTTCAGCTAATAACGTGGAATCTACTACTTAAATCCTCTGTTATCAAATGAAGGAGTTGTCATTATTTCTCTTCGACAGAAATCTCAGATAATATCAAGCATTTAGAGGAGGTAAATAGCTGCTAACAGACTCTGTCCGTCTGAATTCGGGATGATAGATGCCGGTCATGTGAAGTGCATAATATGTTTGGGTATCACCCACCCGATTCCATTTTGTGTTTACTAATAAAGCGATTACCGCACCAATGGACTTCTACACAAGAGGAATTTGCAGCTTCCCTTAAAAGTTTCGATATTTGGAATTGACGTCGTTCAGGCAGCTTTTTTGCATGCATTTTAGCGTTCTGTTTAACTGGCTAATTCAATGAAACTACCAATGCAAACTGCTCAATTTGCCCAGTCTCATACGCATTTGTGTACAAGTCCCACATTCCTGTGCATTTGCAGAAGTTACCAGTTACTCCTAATTACTTGCTTCACGCTTTGAGGATGTCTGGTTCTTTTGGCTATAGTCGGAATGGACCCCTTCGTGTGACAATGAAATAATATGACCACGTAGTTGCTGTCGCGATGCTCAAAATGTTTCGTTTGATCGATTTGGATTTATCGAGCAACTGACTGCCTTTGTTAATGCACTTTCATTGAGTATGCTTGCTTTTTCATCCACTAGCTCTTATCTAGAGCCCTTTTTTCAGTTCTGTTGTGTCGTTAAAGTTCGAAAAAAAAACATTGCTCTGCTCTTCCCGTTCTGGCTGCGGATCAGCAGTGTTCCATTGCCGTTTACAGTCGGCGTTTTGTTCGGTTCTGTCCAATAACGATTCCTTCTTATTGTGAGGAAGTAAGCGAGTGGTCCATTCGATTCATTTAAAGGCTACTTGGGATTCATTTATTTTTGTAAGTGGAGACGACAAAGTAAACTAAACTTGCTTAACATTTCTGCAAAATCCCTGGTTGTTAGCGTGAAATTTGATCACATCAGGCCTCCACAAATTCACCTTATTTGACTCTGTGAAGCGACAGTACTTCGTTCACCAATTACTAGAATGCGACTAATCCCTTGCAAGGTATTTTTATACTCTCAAAGTAAAGTGGCGATTGGTATTAGCTTTGAGTAGCTAGATATTGTAGCATTGACTGCATCATCAGCACACGAACTGGCTTTCAATTTGGCCCTTTAAGCACTCGCTCTTCCTTACGGGACGTTGAACCAATGAACATAATTCACACAGATGTGGCATGTTAAATTTTAGGTACTTTAATTGTGCTAGTGATTTGTTCGTTGCGGCAACTCATGTCCAGGCTCAATAAGCGCCCAACCGAAGTACTCTTTTTGGCACACTCTTCAGCATCAACATCGCCATCATCAAAGCGCGAGGTTGTTTTTCTCCCTTTTCTAGCTTAATTCACGCCAATCACGTGATCCACTGTTTGTGCATCTGAACAGCCTGCCCACCACGGACCTGGCAGTGCCCTCAACGCACGATGCATGTTTGGCTGATGCGGGCCAGTGGCCTCCATGCGTATTCTTGCTCACCGACTTGATAAATTCAACGAAGCAGTGTTTGTTTTAAGCCAATTCTGCTCCAAACCGCTTTTACCAGTGTGGCGAGTCACGCTCACCACTTCAATTCTCCTTGTACTACCAATAAGGCGGTTTTTTGGCTGAAATCTTTAAAGCCTTTGTTCTGTGACTGATCTTATGGAAACTTCACGTCAATGCACCTTCGTCGTTTACGATATCTGTGATCAAGTGCGGGCCGTTTCGGAATGGCATGGCTTTGCATGTTCGAGTCCTAGCTGGATGGTCAATGAGGTTGCTGAAACCTCGCAGGTCAAAGCATATGGGAACATGAATTCCCCTGCATTCGCATGTCCACAAATGGTATTTACGCCGTGACGCAATGCATCTTCCAACATTGCAATGCCATGATCTGTTCGGGCTTGTTATAAGCCACCCGCTTGCTAGTGACCCTACGTAACTTGTACATTTCTTTCTCTTATAGATTTGGTGGTTTTGAAGAATTCAAGCGCCACAACGTCTCCCCGGATGGAACTCTCACGCCAGGACGCAAACTCTTCTGTGGAATGGGTGCGTGTTCTCTTGGCGCGTGTACTTGCCGTCCGCACTGTCTAGTTGAAGTTCCCACTTAAATACCCTTTATGTGTTGGCCGCATGGACGTTTTACGTAAATTGAGAGCAAGTGGTACTCCTCATCCGGTCTGTAAAGGAACGTTGTCCATGTTTGTATGAATCCCGATTTTGTGATTTCTTTCTCATTGTACTTTTTAATGCCTGGTTTTTCTGGTGAAAACGATCCTCTGAACTTAACGACACTTAAATATATTTTGTGAATGTTACTTTCACCGCAGCATTGGCTCGTCCAAGTGCGTTATTTAGTTGTCGAATTGGGTAGTTTACGTGGATCAGGGCCTTTCGCACATTCGAAATTTCGCGCCATTTTTCCCTGCTTTATGCTTCCATCTTTTAGGTGCTGGTGTCTGTGAAGCCATCCTAGTGGTCACTCCGATGGAGACGGTGAAGGTCAAGTTTATAAACGACCAGACCTCGGCCAACCCGCATTATCGAGGCTTCGTTCATGGTGTCCGCAGCATCTCGAAAGAATTTGGTACTTTGCTCTCAGTGCTTAATGCACCCATTGTATGTGACATATAGAAATCCATTACACCTTCCTCTAATGTCGTACTTCACCTGAATGCTAGGGCGCAACCTCACTCATGTTTTAAGATGGATGATCCGTAAAGTCCACTAACATCAAATCGCAGTAAATATTTTTGACCAAATCTGAAGCAAGTCGTTCACCAAGTCATGTACTAGCGATCTTGAACGACACGTGTGTCTTCTACTTAATGATTGGCCACTTAAAACGCTATCAATTTGTCCATATAACAGAGCAAACATGTCTAATCTGATTTTAAGGATGCATATTTCGATGACCATTCGCAGGATCACCTATTTTCGCGAACCTAGGTTTTAAACGGTGTGAATGGAAAATCTTTTCTTCGGTATATGTAATAGAGATGTATAACGCCATTGGTTTACTAGTTGTTTACGCCTGGTGGTACGGAAACACGTATTCTCGATTCCACGGTAGTTTTACCAGTTTCGGACATTGCCATTAGATTGTTTAAATGTTCGGTTGGATGTTTAAGTCGGTGCAACTTATTTATTTAATACGCTAGCCCTTGAAAATTGCTGAAGTTCCTGTCTAGGTTTGGTTTGTACACACCTAACAGCATCAAGTACACTAAAGACTCTTCCGTGGTTGTAAACAATGCTGGTGAATTTCTTACAACCACACGTTCCGTCGAGGTGACGACGGCTACACCAGGTGTTTTGTCGCATCACGTGGCAACTCATCCTGGTTGTCCACGTTTGTGCGCTTTGCAAATTTTAACTGTGCAAAATGAGCCTTTAGTCTTTGGATAATGGACCTTTGAGGGCAGAATAGGTTTCACGTTTCCATTAATTTTACTTACTTTCGTTAAGGTTGGCATCACGAAGTTGTGGTCCCCGTGAGTTATGGCACAAACTGAATTGTGGTAGATGTATTGAGGTTGGAAGCAGTCGTCGGCGTTGAATGTGGAACACTGTTTTAACCTGATTTGCAGGCCTCTCGGGATTGTACAAGGGCGTCACTCCAACCATCTTTAAGCAGGGTACCAACCAGGCTATTCGCTTTTTCGTAATGGAGACCCTGAAGGAGGGCTACAGGTCGTACCGTGGCGACACGACGCCGAATCAGCCGGTGCCCAAAATGCTGACTGGTGTGTTCGGCGTTTTGGCTGGTGCCGCCTCGGTGTACGGTAACACCCCGCTTGACGTGATCAAAACTCGGATGCAGGTAGACTTTAACTCTGTTCCATTGTTTTTTTTCTGGTTTTTCGTGCCTAGTTTGCTTGAGAATCGATTTTTTCTTTAATGCGGCGCTGTCAGTTGGCTGGTCAGGTGTAAAAAGCTGGAGGTATCAATGTTGCTTTCTCCCCTCGTATTGGTGGAGGTCATCTATTAGGTGCCGGATTTAATATTTCGCAGATTTTCAGCTAAGTTATTTAAGATAAAAAAACTCGAGAACAACAGACTTGATCTTCGAAATAGTCTCCATCGTCTTCTATAACCTTGCGCCATCTCTCAGGTAACGTACGAATGCTATCACGAAAGAAGCTTGCAGGCTTCGAGGCAATTAAGTGATCGACGAATTTTCGCACATCGTCCAGTGTTTTATGAACTGTTTATCCACTAAGGCGTGCTGCTGCATTGACCGGGACAAATGGTAGTTGGATGGGGTCACGTCTGGTGAATATGCCCCGTGTGTGGGAGAACTTCCCATCCCAAGTACAAGACGATCGTCTGAATCCCGTGAACAGTATGACTTGCTTGCTTCCTTGCCCAGCACATGGCCCTTTCTGATCTCTGGTCTCCTCGTTCAGTTTGTCTAGTTGTCGGCTGTGGCGTTTCGCAGTCTGCGTCTGACCAGCTTTCAGGAGTTCGTGATAAAGTGCACGATTCATGTCCCACCAGATAGACAGGAGAACCTTCTTCAATTGGATGCCCTGTTTCGACGTCGATGTACTGGGTTGCCCGGGATCTACCCACGACGCCTTTTTACGTTTGGGATTCTCGTTGAAATTATACCTTTTATCATCCATCACAATTCTTGAATGAATTCAAAAAAGACTACGCTGTTGATCAGTCTTTTCGTATACGGTGCAATCAAGTCTGGTTTGTGACCCTTCGACAAAGGTTATCCAACTAACCAATCAAGATCTAGAATTCCGTGCAGTCGTGTCGTCCAATGAAATCCCCTTGACTGTAGCCAGACTGGAGCTAGAAAACATGGTCGAACAAGAATGTTAGTCGCACGTCTTTTCAGAAATGCGTGCAATAAATGGCAATGACCAATTCATATGACACACGATTCCGGCTAAGTGCTGTTAACTTAATGCCTCGATGAAAGTTAGATTGGCTATGATGAGAATGAGCGTTTTCGATCGTTAAAATGCCTTAATAATTTTCTTCCCGCGTTATCGTCCCTCGGTCGTGACGTGTAGAATAACTGCTTCTGACTTCTGTGTACGTTAGGATCCCACTGTCATCGTTAATTACAGGGCTGTTTGGCAAGCGTGCGTATCCTGGAAGGATGTTGCCAACTCATTCTGTGTCTACTGCCAAATTACAGCACTAATCAAATGCAAATCTTGAAACAACATCTTAAAGGCTCCTATTTAGCCTTAAATATCTACTCAGAAGTGAATTGCTTGAATCAAATCACCTCTCGTACTTAAGAATCAATTAAAGCATTGTTTTTGCTGAAATCTATACGCCTGTAGATGTAACGATTGCTCTGTATGAGCGTTCACTAGGCTGAAAATTAATGCATAGCGCTTTGCACTAGTTCCGTTCACTGTAATTACTTCTATATGCCGACATTCATAGGCAAACTGTGCAGTCGCTCTGGAACACAAATAATTGTAGGTCATTATCTCAGAAACCTTAGTCCACCAAATGTGCATTTGCGCATTGGTTTGGATTATTCAGTGTCCTTGATTCTACTTAGCACCATTCCTGATACTCTAACCTCTAGTCGATAAAAGTTCGTATGTGACGCAATTATTTGTGATAATAATTTTTAGCTAAGCGTGTGTATTTTATCCTAACTGGGTTTTCTTATTTTTTTGGGAAAGGGGAGTCAATTAAGAGTCGCGGTTTTCCAGCATCAGTCAAATTAACGAACGACAGTCAGTGCGTGCGAAGTTGAGTCGAATTAGAATACTCACAAAATATATTTCAACCTGTGTGTAGTTTGACGGCATTCAATTGACGTCGTCCAAAATGTGCAGATTTGAATCAAACTCAGAATTGCCTCATGCCTCTGCCTCTCCATAATGCCTCAGTTCACTTCATCTTTGTTTTTTCTTCTAAAACCTCCCAGGTAATGAGAATTCCTGTCTACTAACTGGTACTTTTTCGTTATTTTTTCCTGCTACATCAGTGTAATCCTCAAATAATTATCCGTTGGGTGGACATTTATCTGGATTACTTCGTCATTAACACTGGATTTGCCACTCTCATCTTGGTAAAAGTATACACTAACCATCAAGTCCAAGGGATTAATAGCATAAATTGTGTAAAATTTGAACTTTAGACTCCAACCGTGTCATCGCGTACAGAATTGTGCAAGGGTTTGTGGCTTTCTGATTTCCTACCTTATAGACCTGTGTCAGAGCTCTTTTAACGTCTTACGTAAGCAGTTGTATGTGGGCCGTGTAACTTTAGGCATTAAATATTCAATTGATAGACGACGCTTTGTCGGCTGGTGCTTGAGGTGGGATGAAACTGCTCCGGGTATTTACCTTGATTGACATTTGCACTTGTGTTGTGCGGGGCTGCGTTTCAACTCGTGACTATTGTGATCTCACGCAACTCCAGTCCTCGCCCGCGTCTACCACGCTTCGATTGTGGCGTTTCTTCTCAGACATTTTTGGATGTTTTGTCGCGACGCTTAGTGTTGTTGTTTACACCAACCAAACAGAGCAGGCGCCTTCTACGCAACACCCGCGACAGCTGTGACAATTGAGCGGAGGATGCATCTTTTACACAATGTGATTTTTTGTTACACGTGTCACCCAGTTCCGATTTGGTGTCACGATTCACGTGTTTTAAGCACGCCGCAGGAAAGTGGCAAAGGGAAACTGCATCGCGTTCATTTTCAATCGCTTGCGTCTCACTTTTGCAGGGTTTAGATGCCCACAAGTACAAGAACACGTTCGACTGCGCGCGCAAGATCCTGAGAGATGAAGGTCCCCTTGCGTGAGTACTTCCGATTACTAAATGCCCCCCTATTTTAGCCCTGTCCTTCTGTTTCCAATGCTAGCGTGCTTCAAATAGCTCTCCATCTGCGTGCCATTGGTCGCCCTTTTAATGTCACTTATGATATGGACGCCTTGTATTTCTGGGTCATCGTCCGTATTGAATGAGAACCGTTTTGGGATGCTAAAATCGATTTTCAGCAGCATAGCATAAGGGGTGGGACTTTGAGCAATAGCGACTCAACCAGAGCATGTTAGTAATGCTCAAATAGCTCACACTGCCCATCTTGTCATCTTATGTTACTGCGCAGCTGTCATAACTGTCTTCCGTATTACATTTTTGCTAGAGAAATCATGTAATGCGGGGCAAACTGAACGCCAAGGTGTTCGTTAACATTAGCAATGTAGCAACATTAGGACCCCAAATGCGGAACTACTGCTCCTGATCTGTCAAGAAAGTCACGTACGGCTTAAATTTGATAAGTAACACTAGCTGTCCAAGCTGTATTCGCACGAAGAATATTCACGCTACGGTACTTTCACATTGCTGTTTATCGTAACACTCAGGCCTGGCTTTCTCCTTGGGCAGGTTTTACAAAGGCACGGTGCCGCGTCTGGGTCGCGTGTGCTTGGACGTCTGCATATCGTTTATGATCTACGACACCTTCATGGAGAACTTCTCGAAGGTATGGTCGGACCCAAAACCCAAGCCCTAGTCACGTGCTCTGACACATCTTTTAACAGCGCTACACACTTTGTTGCGTGCCTTGCGCCTACTCCATTCAGAGTCCTGTTTTTTACCGTTGTCTGTAACACTGTACATTCACTAATTGCTTCCTCAATCTGGTAGACGGGTTGTGATTTTCCACTTCTGTTTGCCTTTACGATTGTTTTTTTTTCCTGTTTTCTTTTTCATTCCAACTGCGAACCGCATAATCACCTATTGCAGACATTATACATTTTGTTTTGTTACACCCTCTACTTTATCTAATCAAGTAGCTCTGTTGCCTACGGCTAGAAGCATGGAGGCAATCAAGAGACGACCTGCGTGCGCTTCCGATGCAACCTCGGCAGTAATGGCTCATGTAAGCACTAGCTTTACTAATGCCCCAAGTAATACAGCCACTGGAGCCTAAAATTTCGCAATTTGGTGAAAAAATATCCATGTAACAAACAGGCATTACGATTAGGCGGGCACTGGCTACAAATGGCAGACAGACGCCGGCAAATAAGAAGAAGTGTATTAATGCGTATATATATTTGCTATGAATTCATTGGGTAGGCCCGCGCGCGTGTATGGATGTACAAACATGGTAGTCACGTGACAGGAGGCATCAACGTTAGACGCGAAAACGAAGACAAATAAACAGGCTGCATCCGTTGGCGCGGAGAAGCCGCGCATAGAGTACAAGTAGCGGTAAAATGCGTGGTAAAAAGTTCATGTCGAAGGCAAATAATACTCGGTACATGAGTTAACTTGGCTACCATAACCGCAAGAAGAGGGTAAGGTGGGAATCTGCGTGTCTTGGTGGGGAGATTAATACTAGCCGATTTGATGTTGCTGTTGTCTTACTGACGAATGCATTGCACTGGGGTTGATGAGAATTCGATGATCCGGCAATCGGTAGATTGTGCATGCGCGCGCGTGTGATTGGACTAACTTCCAGGAATGTTGACAAACACCAGGGGCGACACAACCTTCGTAAAAATCCCCGATCACGACTCATTTTGCTGGGTTTTTGCCAGGACCTTGTGAATGTCGGCGTACAGCGGCTCCGAGTCCAGACCTGCAGTTAAGTGGGGGTTAAACCAAAGTATGAATTATTACGCCAGAAACAACGAAGCACCTGCGAGTATGCTTTGGGGTTTATATGTAGTGAGAAATCAGTTAGATATTCGAATTGGCAGCTTACATGCGTCCCGAAGAGACACATAATTGAAGTGCCCGCTAACAATTTACCTGCAAGTATGTTGTCCATGATACCGACTGTGTTCAGATGGCGGGAATTCTGCCGTTTGCGATCGCTGTCATGTTTATCCTAAAATGTTAGAAAACTTACAATAAAACTACGGTTTCCACAATAGAGGGTATTGCGGCACTGTTTGAATGAATACAAGTCCTTTTGAGAGTAAAAGTAACTTTCTAAAAGGCGCTTTCAGCCAATAACATCGGCGACAGGAGCCTTAAGGTGTACCTTTTCAAGTAAACAAATGAGGTCAAGCTACTGGTGTACTTGTGCACTAAAATAAACAAATATTAAACAAGGGGAACACAAAATCGGTCTTTTCCACACCGTTCCACAAGCAAGTTTCGGTGAGTTACCCGAAGCCATCGATCAGTGGCCACACAACGAAAATCTACTGCCAAAAGCGTACTGGAATTCGAAGCAACAAGCTGACCATGTTTGTAGTAGAAATGCGGAACCAACCACTAGGGTGATTTAGGTGTTTTTTTTTAAATACGGAGGAGTTAGGAAGGAAACATTTGATTGCAGCAGTAGCACCTGCATTACGAGGTTACAAAGAAGCGCTTTGAAATTCGGCAGCTGGAGATTTAGGAACGAAGCCTTTTCGAAAAACACCAACCACTATCCTCGTATATGTGAATGCGTAACGCACGTGGAATGCTGGATTCCCAGCAACATTATCAATTATTGATCTGTGATGGATTGAATATAACAACAATTCAGCTTCAGATCAACTGCACTTACTAAATCATTAGACCTCGTAAACAGCCTAGGGCACACGGACAACACTAGCAGTGTTTTCTGTATCAAATACTAGACGGCGCACGTCAGACGATCTGTCCCTGTCAGATGCGACAGGTATGGTAAGAAAGCTGATGGACAGTAACAGGCCACGACATGCCTATGCAATGCACATGGCAAACTTGTTGATCACCGTAATTGTAAAGGCTATTTTCAGAAGATATATTTATCACACGAGACCCAGCACAAACTAATCTTCAGTGGCAACTAAATGTCTTTCTAACAGTTGTGTCACTACACACACCTCCATCATGGACTCGCAACGGTCTTGAGTGATCAAATTCCACGCTCAAAAGGTAGGGTTAAACGATGTCCGATCAGCAGGCAGGATAAGAGCGGTTTTCCTTTGTGAATCAGCTATTGCAAGCCAGGCTAGATGGCCGGTCTCCCAGTTTCTCAGTATAAAGAGATTCAAAATCACTTCATCCGACCATGGCTCGGATTAAACCTGATGCTTACATTGAATATATGTGAAATCCATGGTACCTGATTGCATTTGTGGATCAGTCCACTCAGACATGGTATTTTCATTGACAAAACCGCCGTTCAATCGACCATCTGTATTTGAACGAATGCAGAGCCTTCAAAACTAATCAACGGCACTGGCCCGACAACAGTGCAATCAACCCAGGTCTAGCGCTTGTGCACGTTTTGATCGAAGCCATTAAAGCTATACAGCACAGATGGCAGAAGTTAAGCTGGAAAAGGAAGACATCTTCTGGTCTAGTTCAAGATCAAGTTATTCTTAAACGTCCCTATAGCACAGTCGACCCTCGGTGCTAGAATGAATAGGGCGCCTTCGCGTCCAATGGGAATGCTTCTTCAATACCTTTGGTCCGACAACAACACAACCAGGTGTATAGCCTGCATAGACATTGGTCGAAGACATTTAACCTAAACAACTCCGAGATCAGCCACTCCACTTCAAGGACAAAGGTGAGGGGAACCCACGTGGCCATTTCTGGAGGACCGCGAAGCGGACTCGCAGGCGCGCTGGTGGCGGGGGTGCCCGTTACGACGGTGGGCCGAGGACGGGGAGGGCACTTTGCACGACGACGCCTTCGCGTAGTTCCGCGTGCGCTTCTCAGCGTCGATTGTCCATTTCTGAAGGCAGATGAACAACTCGTTTCGTATATGTGCAGTAAACCGTACTGAGTTGGGAGAAATTGGGGCAATCCCTAGGCGGGAAATGAACTTCGCACCTCAAAGAGATCATGACGATTGGCAGAAATGACATTGTGCTGGTTTAAAGGTTTACGGCAAGTCCTCACTGAAACAATATCGGAATCGATTTCACATATGACGGTCTCGAGGAAACGATTCTGCCAATTATGACGACTCGTTCCAGTATATGAAACCCCTCGTATTATAATATGTTGCCTTGTTTTAACAGAAATTATGGCCAGATTCGGTTTTCATGACAATACTTGTCAATCCGCTTCTGAAATCATTCACGAAGGGCAAGATTTCAGTGACCCTCAACCGAGATGCCAGATGACATGTGTGTTTGTCTCCGTAGGACATTATGTATTATCACGTTCTCATAAACAATTAGCTTAAAAACTTACTAATCCTGCGGGGTTATTTGTCAGAGAGTTGCTACTTATTAACCTCAATACCGACAATTATGCCCTTAGGTGTAATTTGAACTAAACTGAGCTAGTTGCGGCAATATTGGAACGTCTACACTGGGCTTTCAATGCAAACAGACGTGAAACCGTCGAAAGATTGTCATGACGCCGAGCAGAGCCATTATGAAAACGGTTTCCAAGATAGCCGAAGAGAACAAAATAAAGCGAGCACACGATTGGTTGACAGTTCAAAAACGCGCGTGCTCGATTTCCAGCCTATTCTCCTAATCATTTTAAACTTCGCATCAAGACCGCATGTCACCTGTAGATTTATCAACCGATGTGTAATTGGGAAGTGTTTATCACCTGTGAATACGGGGTGCAAATTCACAAAATTTCCTTCAACAATATGTGCAAAGTAAGATTTAAATATTACTAAGATACAGAATATTAGGGCAGAACGTCCTAATACTTTAAAAAAAACCAAAAGATTCACAGATGTCTTCGCAAACAATGGGTGATTGACGCAGCCAATGGAAGTCTGAACAAACGGAAGCGAGGAAAAGGATGTTGTTTTGTGGGCAAAAAAGCAGCCATCACCAGTTAAAAAAACCAACATCAAATGAAAAAAAGCGTCGGGTATTTCAGCAGTATCAATATTTGAAATTTAAAAAAAAGAGGATATTGAATGTGGCGGATGTCGAAGTAGTCGTAGGCGAGTGGTATGCTGCACAAAAAACCACTTCGTGCAAGACAAGCCCCTTTTTTTTGAAAGTCAACCAAAATAATCAACGCAGGAAGTGTGAACAATGCTTTGAAGGCAGACCCGCTCAAGGCGTCAGAATGTGCATCTACGCGTCGCCTACATTGGTAAAAGGAGAGCAAGACTTTAAGGTATAAGTATGCGTAGCACAAGTCAGTATTTTGCCAGAACAACGATCGACTAGTCAAAGTACGTTAGCGTACTCCAAGGTGTTTGTGTACCACCTAGATGCGCTAGTAGAAGGAGCACGAGCCGAAAAACAGCTTAGTAACTCGTTTAGACCCTAGTAAAGCATGTTAGGACAGGTGCTGCCGGCCAAGTGGGCTGCGCGAAATCACACGTCCGGGATCGGGTTCGCGTTTGGCCACTGGGATTTCGTCATCCGCGCAAAAAATGGTAGATCCGGCTTCTAAACAGACGATTTCATGACTTTACCGGGCAAAGCGATATTAAGATCTGTCAAATTTAAATGGTGGCAACGATGGATGCCAAACAGGCGATATCGAGAAAAGATGATTGCAAGCACGAGAGGCATACGTTATCTCTGAGGTCCACGAGAATCAAACCCACAAAAGCCCACCTTGAAGGACGCATAGAATCTCGCTAGTGCAGCGAGCTCCAGTGAGAAATCGCGATCCGAAAATGTTTCAATGGTCTCCGCATCGGCCACGGGTTTCGAGCCTGTTGTGGAGTAGATTTGGAAGGCGGCGGCACCGATTAGCGTCTCTACTTCGCTCAGGATGGACTTGAGCTCGCCCAGATTGGCCCACGCGTCGGGCAGAAGGTACTGCAGGTGGCCAGGTACCTCAGGAAGCGGAAAAAGGGCGTCACGCAACGACAGGTCGTATTCCAGCTCGCGAATTCGATCGCGGATGTCGGACGGCAAGACTACGACAAGGAAAGCACAAGTCAGCGTAATAGTTAAGCTTAAGAATCAATATAACACGGTGTTTAATGAATTCGGCAGAGATTAAATGTCAAGACATGTCGTACCTCTATGTACTAGATTTAGGTTAAAAACTACAGTACCGAGATAGGAGCTGCAGCGGAAATGAATAATCAAGACTAAACGAAAGCAGATCAGTTGATGTAACGCATGAAATTTTGCAAAAAAAGTTGACAACGCGTTGAGACGAGGAAGTGTAAGGTAGGATTTGCACAATAGCAAAATCCTTAAAACGAAGTCCACAAGACAAGCCTTAAGACGGTGAGAAGTTAGGTTTTAGGTACTAAATTTGAATAATACAACGATGTTTCGAATTTAAATTAGATTGGATTAGGTTCGCACGCATGATAGTCCGTGCTTGTGTGGTAAGTGGGGTCACTTGAAAATCAGCTGGAATGGGAAGAGTAAAAAGATTTTCATAAAATTTCAGCTGAGGAGTAGAATTCAAACTCGATATTGACGAAAATCACGACAGCTGATACGGTAGCAAAGGAGTAGGCAACAAATTCTTTTGAGGACAAACAAAAGCTTACAGAAAAGCAACGCGTCTGAAATGCATTAAAACTGTGGTCGTAGACTTTCGGAAAGAACAAATGAGCTCGCTTGGAGATTCATTTTCATCCAAGTTTATTTCCTTAAAGCACGAACAAGAAACTGGCCTAAGTAGGAAAAAAAAGACGAAGACTGTTTCTCCAAGATTACTGTTTTCTTGTTGTCATGGCAGCCTGGTAGAGCGATAATTACGATGCTGGGAGGTTGTGAGTAAAGAGAAGGCCTGAGTACAGCCGCACACCAAGAACCCAAGACCAATTAGAGGCTTCGGGACGACGACAACGAACAGCAAACACAAAAAGAATAGGGGAAATTTCGAAAGGGGTCACATTTGAAGCGCCAGTTTACAAATTAGGGCTAACGACACACGCAAGGAGTGCGCACAAGCAGACGCGTGCAAGAAAAAAGCAAAAGACTAAGATCCTGATCACACAAAATGAGAAACCAATCAGAAGCGATTGCAATCACTTCATCAAGTTCACTACCCCACCTTGTCCGGCGTAGTGGCGCAAACATTTGCAATAACCAAGGGACGATGCACCGTCTATGGCATTTTGAAGTACGAAAGCTTTTCGCTTTTTTGTGAGACGTATTTTGCTATTGCCATCAGAAAACATGGGAACCAGTAACGAATTTGCATTTTTCTCTCATTTTTTTAATAAAATTACTTGAACTAGAGGTAGGTCTGTGAGCATTAAGGCAACCCCCGAGTTAAGTGCTAAAAAAATATTGCTACAAATCACCACACTGATTAAGACTTAAAGACCGCACAAGGTCACTGCAAAATGGACGCGCCAATTCAAATAAACCAATGAGCAGAAACCGGGCAATCTTGTCTAACTCGTCTTGCACTGAGTGTGCTTTTGTTGCAATAAGTTTGAACGTCCGGCCCACATAAGGGCGATTTGGGAGCCCTGCAAGAAACACTTTGTGTTTGTCCATGGCATCACAAAAGTTACCATGCCCGGATACGCAAATCCAAGGTGCCTTTTTTTCGCAGTTTAAAAAGCAGCGTGGAAGGCGCATTTAGCTGGTCCATGAAACAGGACGTGAATATATACAAGAAGCGAATTTTTCAATGAAAACAAGGAACGTGGATAGCCATCGGAAGAGGGCAGAAGAAAATGAAGAAACTGAAAATGGGGGAAATCAGAGCTCCATGTGAAAACAAATCGTTAGAGAAGCATCGTGGTTACTGGAACAAATCCGTAGTATTCAGCATTACAATAATTGATCGGGGTTTCAGATTCAAAAGCAATCATGATCCACCAATAGGCCCAGGGTTTATTTAAAAGTAAAATCGATCAATGTGCCACACAAGGAGGACTGGCCAGATACAGATAGTCTGAAAAACCAACAACATTTGACACCATTACTGACAAGACAGTAGCAAGAAATTGTTGAACAGAGGAAAACTACCAAGCACAGCAAGAAGTGTAGGTTTAATTTACACGTCTACGTGGTGATTTACTTCAATATAATACGTGCACGTCCGCCGTGTGAGTTTCAATTGAGTGTACGCAAAATTAAAGTCGCAGGGAAAACTTTTATGTGGCAAATTTCTCGGGATAGCGCTGCGATTCCCAGCATAGGTTTAATCGGCAAATGACTCATTCAATGACTAATGCAAAGACCAACATTACTGTTTGCCCGCCAATCCGTAAATAATCTTCACGAATAGTTTGGAGTCATTGCAATTTGGAATTAGATGTCCAACAGTGCACAAAACAACGAAGCATGTGTGTTATTAAAGCTAAGCATGTGTGTTAGTGTGACCTCTGACTACACCTCGGGTACAACTCAACACAGTCAATACTGACATCAAATCGGTGGTATCCAATCACGTTTGACCCCGAGAGTAGAGTTCAGTGCCGATTTAAACAATGGGGTGAACAGAGATCACTCCAGTACCAATAAGAACACAAGTCAGCCTACACCTTGACTACAACTCAACACAGTCAATTATGACACCGAATCAGTGTTATCCAATCACATCTCCCGGGAATCGGGGTAACGCAGACACGTACTTCTGGAAGCTGCATCGAGATGCACAATTTCGTGGGTCCAGTCGAGAGTTTCGGGTGCGGTGAGTTCGACAGCCTTGTAGAGGGCCTCCATGAAGGGTCTTCGGCGGTGACTTGCGACAGAGCTGAACACAGGACCCTCAGAGCAGCGTTGTGGAACACAGGGACTGTCTTTGGGCCCACCGGTGCTGTCCGCAATGTCTCCTTCGCCGGACTTGCGACGCACCAGAAGGCACCAGTCCGCGAGCTGTTGGCGCATAATTAAACAACGAGTGAAGACGGTGTCAACCACAAATCAATCTAGCTAGACACGAAGAGGCACTTAGCTACAAGGTGATGACTCAAAGCAGAGTTGTAGGTTTAGAAATATTTAATTCAATTCGACAAAATCTTGAGATATGGAAGGTTCCACAAGCAATCCTGCATCGGGAATCAGTGAGAACTTGAGTTTTTGATCAAGGAAACTATCTTTGAGAATTCGTAAATGTAATGCTTTAAAAGGCCCTGACAATCGTAATTCAAAAAAAAAATAAATGACACAATGGTGACGCGTGAGCGAATTCAATTGGTGCTGAATAGATTGAGCCCTCCCCGGGACATTAACACAAAACTGCGCCACTGATTATTATTTCAATTGGTAATTAAACGTAAATAAAGCTGAAGAATTTGGCATTTCGCAACTCCTATGCACACTTCATAGTCAGGCCGAGTAAATTTGAAATGTTAACATTTAAGAGGGAATGTCTTGCAAGACAACTGGATGTTTTTTGTAATACCTGAAATTGTTATAATCAAAGGTCGTCGTTTAAACAAACCCTTAATCGGTATTTCGCGCCCACTATAAAACGAACGTGGTCTGTGCCACAAATAAATATATCCTCACGCAGAAAAAGTACGTAGTCAAGCCCCATCCCCATAGGGTATACTATAGCGCGTAAAAAATTAACACGAGCGTGCACAGAGGTTTGTAGGAAGACACTCTCTATTACTGCTTTGGCGGGCGAACGTTTTTCATACCGGCCAGACAGCATGCAACTGCCGTAGCAAACAAGTGTTTCTACTCAGAAGTAGAGCTAAAGGCACTTTAAAATGATGAAAACCGTTTTCGACACTGTCGCTGCCGTTATGGATTATAATTGTGAGCCTTTGGTATCGTAATACTTCAAAATACATTGGATGGTCATTTTTTAAGAAACGGGAGGTGGCCAAGCCTGCGGTAGCCTGGATTTTGAGAAAGGCTACTTCATATTGCTGCCCTATTCTCGGAAAAGTTGTTAATTAGTCTGGTTCGTGATCATTTATTAATAGTTACCCAACTAAGGTATTTGGTCGTAAAAAATCAGACAGTCTTATCATGAATACTAAACTGACCACCCAATAAAATCATCCGGCTGAGGTCAGATTAGAGAAAATGCCGTAACCCCATTATGATGGAAATTGCTTTAAATGTAGAAGAAATAAGCTGTGGCAACAAAAACCGATTCACGACTAGCAGATAGCCATAGGAATGTAAATATTTGAAAAACCGCTGAAAATCCCACAGATTTGAAGTCAACAAGCCAGCTAATGATTTTATTTTTGCATCGGTTATTGGCAGAATTTTTAATTAACTGTTAGAATTGCAAAACGCTGACGCCAGGCGTCTTCGGTGCAATACTGAAAGCCTTCATAAGCATTACACTGATGTTCAAGCGAAAATGAAACTGGTAACACCGAAACGGGACATCGCGTAAATCTCGATTCACCTCTGTGACATGCTCAGAGGCCTAGAAACCAAGATTAAAACGAAGACGTGTGTTGGAATTCCCCATTAAGCCGTGCATAATGATTCTGAAGGACATTATGTGCGCGGTGAGTCACTTTCGGGTAAGGTATGTCATGGTTGGTGCTATTATATTGCGCTTGAAATCAGATTTCACACGAAGACGACGCCGAAAGGCAAGTGTCCCAGTTCATAAATCACGCACGTACATGGGAAGATGCTTCCTAAAGACGACTTTTCCACAGTAATAGGGGGTCATACCTTGCGTAATGCAACCAAATAATCTCAAATTCCGCATATGTGGTTAGAACCTGATACTCAGCAATAAGATTGGTTTCATGTTTCGACCGTTCTTGGTGGCCAAATTGTTGGCTTTCTGTTAGGAGAACAGGCCCATCAAACAGCTCCAAGGTAATCACGTAATTGGGTACTCCAACAACGCAACATGGATTTTTATAGTTTCCATCGATAGAAAAAACCTTTAGCGAGTAAACACATTTGCTACCCCAAATAAACGTACTTTTAAATATCACTCTTTCGTCAACTAGGTCAAGGACGCTTGACAAGAACATGGAATTATAAACTTGTACATTAAGTTGCTTGAGCGAGATACATGATTATTTAACTAAAAGTGGTTTATTTGATCTTACTTGACCCCTACCTACATACATGCGTACTTACATAACAAGGCATTTTCGCTGCATATTCCTGAATTTTACATGAAATATTAAAGTTTTTATTGAAAAATTGATATATGTTTATTAAAACATATAGGTTACTATAAGAATAGCTGCCATGTTTTAGAGAAAAGCAGGTTATTTTACTATTATGCACGAAATTCAACCGATCCAAAACTAACCAATTTTCAGCACAAGCTTGGAAGCTAACTGGCGGTGTGTGTGTGTGTGTGTGAGATTTTGGGCATAAAAGGACATTCACCAGGACACAGAGCCGTGACCAGCATGGAACGGGGAAGGGTTTGAACAAGATGCATGGCTTGAAGTCTAGCGACACTATTCAAACGACCAAAAGACAACAAAATATTTGTTCAAATTGGAAGGCGACCTCACCAAGTATCTTCACACGTCTGAGAATCTGTGGACTCACGCTCCTCAAATTATTTCAAGGCTAAAGGCTAATAGGCAAAACTTGTGGTCTACCAAAAGCTACTCCAACCGAATGCGGTCGCATCAAGGTTAAAAGCAAACCGAAGATGAAAAAATGGCTTTATTTATAATAAAAAAAGTGTCACGTACGGAAGAGAGATTGGTGACTTGCAAAGTGAGAAAATCCGGTTTGCCGAGAAAAGACCCGACCAGAGCCTCGGCGACACGCATCACTGTGGGCAGCTTCGTGCTAGTCACTATCGAGTTGCAGCAGGCCGACAACGTTGAAAGAAGCTACGGCGAAAAGCAAAACCATAGTAGTCAAGGTAGCAAAAGTACGCAGTGGGATAGAATACTAACAAAAAGAGTCGTGAGGTGGGATCGGTACACTAGAAGGGCATTATTTTGTAGATATCCGTCCACCGATGGGGTATCTGCATAACCAGGTTTTTACAGATTGGTTTTTCGAGCCTAAAATTATCCTTAAAATGGAAATATCCTAGTAGTCTTTTGTGGTTTTTGAAGAATTGGTCGCAAGGTTTCAGGACGTTTTAGAAGTGGTGATTTTGATCTTAATGACAAGCCGCGTCACGGACAGCAGCCTCGAAAATTTGACGATACGAAATTGCAAACTCTACTGGATGAAGGCTCAACGCAAACGCAACAAGAGCTTACAACCCAGTTTGGATTCACCCAAACGACTAGTTCCAAGCGTTTGCACAAAGTGGGGAAATTGTACAAACTTAGAAGTTGGATCCAACGTGCGTTGACAGAACAGAACCCAGGTCAATCTATGAACACATGCCCTCCACTGCTTGCCTGGCAACAAAAAGAACCTCTTGTTGAATGTTGTAACCCAGCAACTAAGGCAATACCATCACATTAGACACTTGCTTCAACTGGTCCAGGTAAAATTGGAACTTAGGGACAAATTTGAAGCGAGCTTGAGAAATCGAATAGGTGTTTAGAGCGACAAACAAAGATAGCAGCGCATGTTGTACACAAAACCGAATCTACAGTCACAAATTGCTCTTTTTTTTTCATCAGACAACAGACTTCTGTGTGGAGAACAGGCTGGGTGATCCAAGTGTCGGAAGGCAGGACAACGAAAAGTTTCTTATACAAGGTAAATAAAGCCTAAGTGGAACCAAAATAAATTAGTAGGTAGAGAACAGAGGCTATGAACGACCCGCTACTCGGAGCGCAGCCTTTGCATCGACAGACCAAGAACGCTAACTAGAAACCATGGAAAAGGAATTCAAACATGATTGTTCACGGGCTAGACAGGTGAGGAGGCTTGTTTCCTAACAACGGTGAATGAAAAAATGACGGAAGTGCATGAACGATACACACATCAGGTTGAGGCAGTAATCTCGTAAATAAACCCAAACCCGTAAGCCGCAGGTTTGTGCACAAAAAAGGCGTTGACCGTGGAGTCTGTCACAACGTCCAATGTTGAAATAACCAAGCGTTATTATTACGAGTCGTGCGTGAAGAACTCGTAAAAGCGTTCTGGTGGCTGTAAATAGACGAAGATTTGGACAAAAGCGAACAAATATTTCAGTCGTGCAAACTGGAAGCGTATCACACCACAGTTTGGAGTTGTTTTTAATTTGCTCCTTAATCATACGCTGATGTGGAAGACGAACGGAGTAAAGGAATAACTATCTTCCCCACAAAATTTATGCTCCCATAGAAGTACAATCAAAGTCAGCATGAAATAACCGTTAGCTTGCATTTCTTTCGATAACAGCTTATCATGCAAAAGTCATTGCGGCGATTGTGATTTTGTAGAATCTACGAATTGCACAACGCATTTATACATACAAGTCTTCAGGGATAATGAAGCTGCCTTTTTCTGCAAATTGTCAGGGTAGTAAAGGTTTCACGTAGCCAAGATCATGGCCCCTTGAAAAAAATTGTTTAGGCGTGAGAGCAAAACGGTGTTTGAGATGGCGCCACGACCTGCGAAAGGGTTCGGCAGGTGGGAGCTAGAGGCGCGTGGAAAGCAGAGTGACACGTCGGCTAAATTAGGCACTGCCTCGAAGCCGCCAAGTCATACCGTGGCCCGCAGTTTTTCATGCAGTGGGTGATGACACGCCCAGTTGACAATCACACTATCGTCCGGTACTGGCAACGAAGTATTCCGGAAATATGCTAAGTAAACACAACCTATGAACGCAACGAAGCAGTCCACAGCAGGCTATGTGAAATCTACTGTGACCCCAAATAAAGTGCTACACAACACGGCAAAACTAAGCGTTGCATTTCCATGCACACCGGGCATTAGAGAAACGCTTTAACGACAAAGAATTGCTTTCTTCGTGGGTCAGGAGGCTAAACAACAGGTAAGTACACTTTATTGGGGCGATTTGAAACGTCCGATGAGCGAGGATACAAACGAAGACAGACCCGAATGCATGTGGCTTCCCACTTCAAAATTAACCATTGATCGTGGTTAGCAACTTACCTCAATCAATAATTGGATATTCCTAGCGAGAGAAAAGGGAAGTAAATTAACACGAAGGAAACCCTGCAGGAGGGGCCAATTCTGAGGTCCCTCGCAGTACACGGTTGTGTCGGAGATGTCGCGATCACTCATTATGCCCTTGAGAAGGCCTTCTATCACATCGAAGACAGTCGTGAGGGCTGAGTCACTGCGTCCGCGTTCCTCAGAACCAATTACCTCCAGGAGGGAGATTAGCCGCGTCGCAGAGAAGGGATTGAGATTGACAGAGAGCAGAGATGCAATGATTGGGAGATCGTCGAGCTGAGGTCCCTCACCTTCCGAAGTTTCCATCTTCTTCAGTGCCTCGCTCGTCACCATTCGGGTGTCGACTAGCCACTGGAGGATCCTAACAGTGGCACAATAAGCAAAACACTCTTATCCATTGTAACATTTGTCAGATTACTTTTATTTAAATCCTTTGTTTTACCTAGCTGGTTTCTTTGGAACACTATTCAAATCCGCCACTAGCAGTATGTTTCTCTTTTTCTTGCTTAACCCTTGCTGTTCACTCGACTTATTGTCTTGATATTCATTGTTTGTAAAAACCTGCATTAAAAGGTTTAGTGTTTCGGATTGTCTTGGTTGGCTCTTCTACTCAAAACGCAATAATCCGATGCGATAAAATCATTTCAGTTATCAGCCGATTCTAATTTATACCACACACCAACCAAACCGGAGAAACTCACCGATCGACTGCATTGAGAGCACAAACCCATTCGTCAAAATTTTTATGGATGTTTTTATAAACTATCAGACGCACGAAGAGTACAAGCTCCACCAAACCATATAAACAGAAGGAGAACAACAATACACCATTCCGTTGAAACCTCAACGCACATTTACCGTAAGCAGTCGCGAGTACAATTTGGCAGAGTGCTGGTGAACAAACAGAGCCTTGAAGTTGGGTGAACTACTAACCAATTTAGTCGATCCTCATCTAACAGACACCATGTAGGGTGGTGGTGCGTTAATAAATGGGCATTCGCGTTGCCAATGACTCTAATTCAAGAAGCGATTGTCCATGTGATGCACTGGCGTGTTCCGCGTATACTTACTTCCAGTTGAAAAATAACAGGAGTAATGATTTTGCATTTGAAAGGCGACTCACTCCATGATGCTTTAGGAGTTAATCCGATTCTAGTTCAGCTCTTGCCACCCATGCACACACACTAAAGGCCAGTGAACCATTTGTAAGATTTACATGCTGATCCTGATTTATCCCTTGTTTAACTAAACTGATTTCCTTGGAACACTACTCAAATTATACGCTAGCAGTAAGTGTCCCTATTTGTTGTACACACTTTCCGTTTACCATACTTATTGTTGTACTATTTGTTTAAGATGACTTGAATATATCGGGTTACGGGCAAACATAACAGTACTGAAGCGTCTTTGGTGTTCTTCGATTCCAGCAGACCTGTCTCTTAGTACTTTTTGGCTGCTGTTATTTTCCACCAATCGCAAACGCCATATACGAATTTCGGTCAAATATGCTGGCATGGACACCACTCAGAGGAAACGTAGGATACACTTCACGATCAGTAACTAAGTGCTCATAATTCAACCCAGCCATTATAATTTAGTGTATATGGCTGATGTCGGCAGTCCTGGCATTACACACACACACACACGCAAAAGCGGGTACGAATGCCCTCTCTGTGTTGCCAGAACTGCGGTAGCATAAAGTGGTGGCTGAAGGGGAGAAACAGGTTGTGGTGGGGCGACGCCAGTGGAATTAGTCAACACACAAGTGACTAACGCTCGCTCTATCGCCTACGCAAACAGGCGTGCAGGCAAGCCCACTGGGGATGGCCAAGTGCGGGCATTAATTTGGTATTAAATGGGTGGAAGGCGGACACTTTAACGTGGGCCATTTCAAGCAGCCACACAATGTGAGAGCATATTCAAGCGCACAGCAGGAGACAGGTCTTTAAGGTGACTGACACTACAAGCCACAGACTAGAAGAACCACCAAAGACACAATTCCAGCTTGATTTAGCCATAAATTATTTCGCGCGCAACCAATCAGCAACCAGTTGGAGCATTAGGGGAACCGTTTGTTAAACCTACCCCGAAAGTAGTGAAAATCGTCTTACGCTTCGCCTGCAGGCCTTCAATTCCCATCTTGTAAAACCAAGACGGTTTATGCGAGAATCACATTTTAGTGACTAGCGCAAATGCTGCATTAACTCGAAAAACTGGTAGTCAAGTGGAACATGACGGGTAAAATGCGGTGACTGGGGCAGAATCCTGTCGCCATATCGTGCAGATTAAATGACGCTAATCTGATTACTTTTGGACCGTTTTACAGCAATGCGATGTCCCGTTTACCAGGCTGTGTACACTATTCCGCAGTTGTGTTTTAATGGAATCCTACACCATGGCATAGATAATTCCCGCGAAATTCCATCGCACTGGCAGTCTTTAGAGTGAAGACCAGCTTTGGGTGTGATGTTACCGGCAACCACGCAGCAGTGACAGTTTATTAGACATGGAGATCTTCGCAAACGGGACAACTGCAAGTTGATAGGAGAACCGCATTTCTTTGAAACGTATTCAGTGGTAATATATACGGTCACACTCTAAACCTTGACGCTGGTAACCGCACCTACAGTACCACCATTTTTCTGTCAAGTGTCTAGTTTACTGCGTTGCCTTTCATGTTATAAAACTTACACAAAAGGCCAGAATTTACCAAGTAACATGCTACATGGATGGTAATTCAACCAAAAAACCGCTTTTGGTGGTAAATAGCGTCAACGAACCAAATGACGATGTCAGACGAAATCAAACAATTTAAACAAACGAATTGGTTAGGGAGAAAGGGTAAGACAAAGGAAGTCGAAGTAACTAGAGGATAACAATTAGCTAGTAAACACACATGCACAAGGCTTCACGGTACCTCCTTTTGATTAGAAGCTAAGTACAAAGGTTGCTCATTCAAAGTACATAAGCAAAAGTGACTTTCGCTAACCATAAACTCAACAAAACATTGCGTTCTGAGGGTAAGCATGAAAAAAGGACAGAAACGTTTGTAGCTCGCACCACTGTTGTCACTTTATATACGAAAACAGGACTTCCATGAAAGTTTCGCTTTAAATTTGATGCCAAAGTGCTTGGCTTCTTACGATGCAAGTCAACTAACGTGTGACTGTTTATAAAGGGAACAGAAGCATCAGGAGAATTGCGAGACACAAAAAGAACCTGAACGCCCACAGCCTTCGTGAACTACATAACCACACAGGTCTTGTAACAGGTACACACGTGGACTAAAGTTCACGGCAAGGTCAGTGGAATTCACTTTTTTGTGGTCAAGCGCATCTTGCGATCGCCAGTGCAAACGAGGCTGTCCCTACACTAGGGCCAGCCCCAATGAGGTAAAGGCAGCTACGTAAGCAGATGCACACATGTGCTGTGTAACCGTGACCATAGGCGACGTAGCTAAGGCTTACAAGATCAGTGACCTATGGAAGAAGCTACCGTTCACTAGGATGATGTATGTATGTCGCAGCTACAATTAAAAATAACCATTACCTGTTATTCCGGAAATGTTGGGAGGGTATGTTTTAAAAAAATACTGTGGCTGGCAAACAGATATAGTAGACTAGGTACCATGCTGGGAGCCACCAGTAAATAATCACACTTTCCGCCTAAATGAATCTGCGCGGCCCCTATAATTACAGCTGGGGTTGTCATATTTAAAGAGGGCGGGATATTATATGACCCAGATCGTAAACCAATAAAATTGAAATAGGAGGGCATTAAATCTTGCGGTAAACGATGGCTAAATATTATGGCATCTATAAAACAGTAGCAGAAACATAAGCTCGTTTCGGTTAGTGAATACTTAACTGTCAATCGTCCTAAATACATTGGAGATTTGTCGCTACTTCTACGCATACAGACCGACCAGGCGTAAGGGAATGATTGAGGGGAGCCGGTTAAATGATTGCTCCTGCTGCAGAGAGCAATTTTCAAATCACTGGAAGAAGCTGTGGCAATCAAACGGCGACTGCAACGCACACGTCGTGAAGGTCAAGACAAAGTTCCGGGGATATTGGGAGGGCGTATAGTCAAGGGGTTGCAAAAAGTTGAGGATTTTAACTACCGGTTATGTGAACACATAATCAAGCAAGTTCACTGGCCACATATTAGCAGAATTTGTTGGCCACGATCTGGACATCCGGATCAGCCTCCGTCTAATGCCAATTGGACGAACAGGCGAACACCCAATCAAAATTTGAGATTTAGGACAACATTTTCGATCAACCCGGGGGACAGAAAATACGATTTGTACGGCCAAGTATATACAATTTGGGGGGAAATCTTTGTCCGAGTTTATGAATAATTTATCAGTATGAGATTGGGTTTGGAGAGAATTTAGGCGACATCGAAACGAATTGCCCTAACACACGTGGCCCGTGCGTATGCGCAGCTGGACAGATTGAACGCAAACACCAAAGCCACCAAAGTATCATTGACCCTAGCGAAAAGCGTATGTATTATATAGACACATGGCATCACTCAGTCGAGTGCCGTGTGCAGTGGGTTGTCTTATGGCCAAGGCGTATGCATGGCTCGTTTGGGCAGCCGGCTGCACGTGTTTATATTGGT